ATTATACAGCAATGCTGAATACCACCAGCTATAAAGCACTACAAATCCCAGCAATCCATTATACAGCAATGCAGAATACCACCAGCTATAGAGGACTACAAATCCCAGCAATACACTATACAACAATACAGAATAATACTGTTATAGAACACTACAAATCCCAGCAACACATTATGCAACAATGCAGAATACCATTATCTATTGATGACTGGTGCTGGGTCCCGTATCCTGGTCCTCGGTGCCACAGAGCTCTGGGCCAGTCCCTGGGCACACTAGTAGCACATGGGCCCACGCCTGCTCCTCATTAATGGGCTGCTCCTAAGATTTCATATAATATATATATATAGATCCATCTCTCTGGTCGGTGGTATTCTGCATTGTGCCGCTGTATTATACAATGCAGAATACCAATGTATTATACAGCGGCACAATGCAGATTACCACCAGCTATAGAGGAACAACAAATCCCAGCAATAATACTTATACAGCGCAATGCAGAATACCACCAGCTATAGAGGACTGCAAGTCCCAGCAATAATACATTATACAGCGCAATGGAGAATAACACAATCTGTAGAGCAATACATCAGATCCCAGCAATAATAAATTATATACAGCACAATGGAAAATAATGCCAGCTATAGAGGACTACTGATCCCAGCAATAGTACATTATAGTATAATGTACTATTGCTGGCATTTGTTGTATTTCTCTATAGCTGCTGGTATTCTGCATTGCGCCGCTGTATAATGTACTATATTGCACACCACACTTTTTTTTTTTTCACTTCCACCGCTCCAAGCTTGCTCCCGTGATGGACTACAATCTCAATACAAACTAGTAGTCCATCACAGGAGCCTTTTTATAAAAATTCGATCAAAACTTAATCGGCTAACTAATCGATTTTGAAAATAATCGTTAGCTGCAGCGCCATATGGGATGCATTTTTCTGCTGCTTTTGCATGCATGGAAACGCAGCAGAAAACCTCACGACTTGCTTGCCTGCATTTGGAGTGCCTTTAAAAATCAACGGCACAACAAATGTGTTTTGGCGCATTTCCACAGACATAAATGCCGAGCGCACACATTGCCACTCGTCCTCAGAATGCGCAGGTGTTAACCAGGCCTGAGGGTACGTTCCAGCCTGATTTTGGCCGGAACGCACTGCATCGCGGCCAGCTCACTTTTTTGTGGGGCAGGAGGGTGCGTGGAGGGCCACTGAAGTGAATGGCACCGTACCCGCGCCTAGATTGATCGCACAGGACCATGCGGGCGATCGCATTGCGGTGCCATTCACTTCAATGGCTTGCCACTCCCCCTCCTGCCACACAAAAAAGTGACGCGGCCGCGATGCAGTGTGTTTTGGCCAGAATCGGACCTGAACGCACGGCATCTGGTGTGAATGGGCCCTAAGACTAACATTAGACCTATAATGAAACTCCAATAAGGCTATATAACTAAATGCCTAAGAGGAAGTGCAAAAA